AACATACAGACAACAGGTCGTTTCATTCTAGTCGACTGTAAACAGCCAGTTTTCCTATTGCATTATTCAGTTGTGGGATTGACATGTCACAGCAGAGAATTCCGCGCCCGATAGACTCGCTGATTTATCTACTTCGTTATTTGTTTGTCTACTTCTAGTACTGTTTGTGGTTAGGATTGACTTAAGAATCAGTTTATGCGGTAACATAATTAAAAAACCTAAGTTTTCGTAAATATTCATTTAAAATAAGTATTATAATAAAGCGTAAACACACATTTCTTTGTTGCCTGATGTCAGAAATAACAGGAACTTTTTGAATAATTCGTTTTTTAATAAAAGCCCTACACTTGCGTCACGCTTTAGGCTACATATTTTAAAGCCATTAAATTTAGGGGGTAAACCATTAAATAGTTTGGATAAAAACCCTAATGTGGGAAAGTGACCATTAGTTGCTGCCAACATCAAGGAAGCTAGGTTGTCATAGTATCACATCATTTTGACATTTGTAATTGATAATTTAACAGATGTAAACAATAAAATAAAATTTTCACAATTTCATGCGGATGAAGGCGCACGGGAACAACTAGTACTAAATAAACACTAAGGGATGCAGAATACACTACATTTTTTACATTTGTTTCACATGCTAAGAGCGTGCGCTCACCTGAATCTAAACTATCGCACAACTATGTAGTCTCGCTTTGATTCCTATGAGTTTATATGGAGGTAACACTACTCGATTTTTAGTCGTGCAACTAAACAGTTGAATGGATTATGAAATAATCGACAATCGCACAACTGTTGTACGATTGTATACTCAAAAGTAACATTAAATTTTATACTGATTAAAATGTTTTCTATTCGAATAAATACATTTATCGAACATAGACTAGTTTCCTTTTACCTAAATAAGCACGTCAGAAACTATCAAATGGCCGACTACTGTGACCATGAGTTATGTCTGCCGCACAATAAGCCTTGCCAGACCTTCTCGGAACACCGACATATAGGGTGATTCATTTTCGAAACGTTTAATTTAATTGAACTGTCATTTTTAAAAAATAAAACCACGGAAAGGTCGCCCTGGTGTGCGCTGTGGGGGTCTGGCTCACCTTACGCGTTAGTTTGGCGCTGTGATGTCAGATCTTGCTTACCTTAAATGTTTTAATTTATTTTTGCACTTTTTTATACCTACCCGGTCATGGAAATATCGTTTATAAATTTGCAATCCTAATGACCATTAAATTTAATATTTGATAAAATAAAGTAATAACTTCTCGATTCAATTCTAACTATTTTTAGCCTGTGCCTTCTTATTTAAAACTTCTTATATAAAATAAAGAGTTAACATTTCTTTCAATATGTTTAGTAAAGTAAATAAATATAAAACATCCTGTGGACAAGTTAAAGGCATTTCAAATTTCGTCGCGTTAATTCTCACCGTGTGTACGAAAAGGAGATCTCGCTTTTTGTGTTGTTTTTGTCGGTCAGATTCCTCTGAGACCTTAATAAATCTGGCCCATGTCTAAGGAGTCGAGAATTAAGGCCTTGTCATTTGTCCGGAATATCCTGACATACTGTGCGCTTTTCAATGGAGTGCGAAATCGTTATCGTGTCGTAAAATTGCTGTAGCATTTTGCTTTTAATTCTTTTTACTTTTAAGCTTTTACTTGTCATTTTTATGCGGATTTGTAAAGATTTGTATGCTTTGTTTGGGAAAGATTTTGAAGTAAACTAAGTAATAGTGGTAGCACATAGCAGTTTGCAACTGCAATATTATTTCATCGTAATTTTTCAACTTAGTTCAATTTATAATATATTCTTGATGCCAATTATCTGCAAATTATGTCGTGTTATAATCTGTAATGTTATATCGTAGAGTAACAGGTCGTTCCCAGGGTTGAACGACATCGGGACGTCAATTTTAAACGCATTAGACTTTTACACGTCCCTGCTCGGCCGGCGTGCGACGGGCCGTGAAGATAAGCGGCGCACATCCTACACGCGTCCGCGAGATGTCGCCCTCATCGGTTATTGATGGTCACATAATATCTGATAACATTCGTGCACTTAACAACATTTAGTTATTTTTACTCTGTGCTGACACGGCTTTGTTTAAGAGAAGGTTATATATGAACTGAGTTTGACAGTTTTCGTGTATTGTTTCATGTTCTTGTGCTGTTACAAGATTATTATTGACAAATGTTTACAATTTACATCTTAAGACTTATTTTGGGACAAACAAAGAGAACCTTAATGATATAAATTTAAAAGGAAACTTTTTAAAAAGAATTAATTTTTTACTATAAATATGTAGAAAATACAAATATTTTATTTGTATTTGTATTTGCACGTAACGTAGGTATGTTATGTCATCACCAGCTCACTATACGTCCCCACCGAGGGGCTCGGAGCCTACCCTAATATATGTTATGTATGTATGTTATATGTCAATATTTAATTATCTCAGTTCTTTCAGTTTAGCAACTTTGAATACTAAAAGTTAATGAACCAAGCTAAAGCTCCACAGGGTGTTATCGAGCTAGAAGAAGGTGATGAAATATTTTTTTATTACGCTCATGTTAAGTTAGTCAAAAGCAGTAGTATGTAGTAGTTACTACAGACTATAGTGCGTACAATCTGCATAAAATAAATAGTTTCTAACAAAAAGCACATATCTCTACATCACGAGTTCTTACCCACAAGATGTGGATGCTGTCACAAGCCTCTGTAATTGCCAACCGGTCTTATGTTAAATTCATGAAGTAATGATTGAGTCCTACGTACGTCTAAGGAATACAAAATGGCCGTCAACTTAGATGCGATCCGATTACCGGCACCTGGAAATATGTATGAAAAAGTAATTGAGATGTTCTAATCCATTTATATCTCGCATCTCATCAGCGACAAAAACTGGCAAAGCAACGACTAATATAGACTGTAAAACTTTTTATACTTTCATAGACAATACGAATAACTTTTTTTTTATCTTTTTATTATACCATAATGTGGCAAACGAACAAGCTGAATCCGCCAAAATAGATAAGCGACCGCTGCCCATAGACATTCGCAATAACGGATGCGTTGCCTACCCTTAATCGAAAGAGTAAGATACGCACAAAATATGTTAAAGCGGGCTCTACTACTGTTGAAATCTAAGTAGCCAACGTTGGAATAAGTTTCTAGTCCTTTGTTTATTAATTTCAAACTCCGTCTACTGGATATCCGTCAAGTACGGAAACTCTTCATCCAGCCCCTTTTAAGTAAGTCATAATTATTGTCACCAGGAGGCGTTACTGACAATATACAATTACTGAATTGATTAGTATAATTCTACATGTTTATGTATGAAAATATACCTTTGACAATAACACGACAATCGCGTGGAAGGACCAATCGCTTGATGTACACATAACAATAATGGTTCACAATGTTGTTTAATCTTATTAGAATATTACATGACGTTAACTTTTTTTGCAAACTGTACTCTGACGTCCGACTCACTACAACGCGTGCAGTACATAACTTTGCACTAATATTCAGTTTTATCGTCTTACGGCGTTTTATGGCGGAATTAACGAAAAGTGTTTCGTTCTAAACCGCATTTATGTAGTATTATTTGAAATTAGTGAGATGGATTTGATGTTCGGTATTATTTCAAACGTATTTTATAACTTGTAATGATAGACTTAAACGCGACTGCGTATCTTCAATATTTCATGTTTGTTAATGATGGTGTACCGTCAATAATGAGTAAAGAGAGTTTTTTCTTGCTTTTTTATTTTGTATTTTTATCTTTAATACGTAGGAAATACAAACTATTTCCCTTTTCTATAAGCTTCATATAACAACCAGGTTCAATTAGTATTCAAATATAATATTTACTTAACGCTTCGGCCTTAAATGAAACATCAAAATCAAAAAAAGTCAGTCTGCGCGAAATCTGTAAAACTTGTTTCACATCCAGCGCAACAGTTTCAAAACTTTCTTCCTAATCGAGGGGAGTCTGAATCTATTGCTGTCCCTATCCTTCCAATTGGTTTGCGGTAACAAGTGTGACGTGCGAAAAGGACAGCTCACATGAAGACGTCACGAGGCAAAGGCGCGCGAGTGTTCTTCCACTTATTTTATTTATTCTGTTGCTGGCATATTTTTTTAATCTTTTTCCACGAGGCTACGTCTTTGTTCGAGTTCGGGGGGCGCGATGCTCCGTGGCTGGTAAGTTGGATAATTTCTTTATTCAGATCGCCCACCCGACAATTTTCTGGCCCGCATTATAAGTTGATTTATTTAATAATTTTATTACCGGCAATCTGGCCGCGTCTATTGTATTCTCATTGTCTGAGAGAGTTTGCTCTTTGTTTATCGAGTTTTAACTCTGTTACTGTTTTATTGCCTTGTTTTAATTGTATTCGGCTTTAAAATTACCATATTGTGTGATTTCTGTACTTAAGATATGTAAATAATTGGACTTTGGTACTTTTTTTTAAATTATGTCTAAAATAAAAAATATTAAAAAAAATCTTGTGGGAAGCGTAACAAAATGGGTACGTTTTAGTAATGTCTATATAATTTATGTTTGCGTAGTGTGCTATGTATCCCCACTGTCCCCGACACGTTGACAATTCAACAAGGTCAGATGTCCAGACATAGCTTTGGGGATACAAAGGGAACGAGCTCCTCTTTTTGTCGACGTGATCCCAGCGCAGGCCTCGGGCCGAGTCAAGATGCCAGAGACGATAATCCGAATGATTTGAATAGGCAGGTGGGGTAATAGAGATGTTTGTGCTACATTGTTGTTACAAAATTGTACACTCATAATGCGGAAAGTTTAGTGTTGAAGTACAAAAAAGATTTTATTATATCTATGATTCACAGCTAGCTTTTAATATTGCGGAATAAATATGTTTTTGTTTTGTAACAAGTGCAAATATCCACACATACTAGTTCCATTTATAATGAACTACACGGAGGTCTAATTAATCTGGTCCTCTCCGCAGGCTGGCGGCGGCGGCGGCGGCTGCGGCGGGCGCGACCACCGAGCTGAGCTACCTCGCCGCCTTACACCCCGCGTACCGCCCCGTGCCCTACGACCATCCGCTATACGGGACCAATACTTTACGAGGTAAGTACGACTACATTTTCAGCTAATACAACTAACTTTGAATGGTTTCCAAGCATTTACCAAGTGCTTTACTGAGTATGTTTATTTATATTTTATTCTAAGTAGTGCTTAAGTTTGCAACACGTGCGTAGGTAGTGTACTTGCTAAGTTATAGATGAATAAATTTCAAGATAAAGTGCAGTCCAATTGCTAAGAATTCTACCTTACACGTAAAGCCAATAAACTAGGTACGTCTTGTCTTTTTAACAAAAATACTGCATACCTAACAACATAATCAATACATTGTACCAATAATTGAGTAGTATCTGACATTTACAGACTGACAGGTACTATTCACAACAGCTGAATGGCTGGCATTCCTCAACGTTGAGTTTCCTGCACTGCTTTGACGGTATTTCCATACCAATACGACTTAGGGTCCTTCCAACTGAGTGTATCTCAAAGACCGGCTTAGCGCCTGTCATTCCCCTGGTGTTGTGGATACCAATGGGCGACAATGAGCATACTGGTGTTCCCGCTGCTTCTTTTCTCCTTTATGTTATAAAAAATCCAGATTTAGTAGTTATAATATAGACAGACAGATTGTGTTTTTATTTCACTTCATTGGGTTATCAACAGCCAAAGTAATAATTGACCTTTTAGATTACGTAGAGGTCTTTTTAAACTTTAAACGTATTACTTATCAACTCTAGTTTCAAGAAATTGTAACATAATACCGCTTCGTCTGCATCACGTCTATATTGAATCATATTGCACGCAAACTACGTCTGTACTCATATAGCTGTTGCCTACAGTCTGTCGTCAATCACAGTTTAACAAATAGTAACTCGATCAACTAGTATTATCTATATTTATCTATATTATTAAAATAAAGCGTAAACACACACTTCTTTGTTGCCTAAGATGTCAGCAATTAAAACATATTTTTGAATAATTCTTTTTTTAATAAAAAGCTCTACACTTGCGTCGTGCTTTAGGCTATATATTTTTACGCCTTAAATTTAGGGGGTAAATGTTTTGGATAAAAGAGACCATAAGTTGCTGCCAACATCAAGGAAGCAAGGTTGTCATCATGTCATGTCATTTTGACATTTGTAATTGATAATATGACAAATGTTATCAATAAAAGAAAATTTTCATAATTTCATGCGGATGAAGTCGCACGGGAAAAGCTAGTTTTCAAGATAATTTCCATTCTATGATAGTCATATTACTTAGTCTATATTATTATCTCCAGTGTCACTAATTACAGATTTATATTATGTTAAACAGCGGCAAAATCGCGCATCCAATGAGGAAAGAGAAACAAAACAAAGTGCACCAATTCTCCGTGACCCTATATTGCCATCTCTTTCTCATATCGCATAATAACGTAATGTGAGCGAGACACACGATTGTCGGATATCTCACACAACCCCACAAACGGCGCAGACGTACTCTATCAATGCAATTTATCTATACACTGAGGTGTTAATTAGGATTTGAACTCACGACTGCCACCATTCATTTTTCTTTAACATTCAAACGAAAATCGACCTTATACAGTTGACATAACAGGGAAAATCGGCCATTATGTCGAGCGATGAATGATACGTAGAAGTGGCTATTAAGGGACAGGACGTGTTTAAGTCACGGGTTAAAATTGGCATGCGCCAGTAAAGGGGTTGAGATTTCGACCTTGCTATAGTGTTAAGATGTTACCTCAGAGCCTAACTGTTGCTTAATGGACGTTAAATGAAATAGGACATGACATGTAAACCAAGATTACATTAGTATATTCACAAAATTAGATTTTTGTAATCAAAACGTACGCCAAATTAGATGTTAGTAATAATTTTATTTTCCATTATAATTGATGTTTTTCTACGTAAGTTATAAATTGGCTGCGGTGATTGTTGCTCTTTGCGTTATCAAGTATATTTGTACTATCTTTTGATATTTGTCCAACAAGAGTACAAACAAAGCTTAGAGAATGTAAAATTATTCCCCTTTATCGCTAACACGCCTTCACTAATATCGTCTATCGCTCAGACCGTAACAGATACATTAATGGACTGATGACTGGGCGAATGGTACAAATGAAACACTTACGCGGATTTTGCATTCACATTATTTCTCTAATCTTTGATACCAAAGATTCTTGATTGCGCCAGTAATATTGTCTTTTGTACTTAATAATATTCTTATTTGTGAACTTCAAAGTTGATAAGCCTGTCATGCCATATTGCTTTGTGAATAGCTTCTGAGTTTTATTTACTGACATAGCTTAAATAAAGTATACCTCAATATTATAACCGATTAATTATATGCCTCGATAATTTCATATGTTCATGTCGTTGTACTTGTATTTAGTTACTTAAAATGTTAATGTTTCCTAATGTGATTCGTATTTTCACCCGCTAGAATCTTCTCCTTTGAGCCTCAGTACAAAATTTACGTGGAATACTTCCAAAGCGCCTACAGTACGTATTAGCGATTCGTCGTGGACTTGCGTTCCCTTCAACATGTCTTTAGGGGCTCTGTTTATTTGTAATATTCTTGGGTCACAATGATTTTAATCAAATAAGTAAATGGTCGTAAAAATGTATTCACCATTTCGATGCGGCGCCTTTATAAAATTAGAAATGAACGTACCAGTGAAAAGTAACTAGTTTAATTTTGTTGATTGGAAAACGGGTTTCGTAAATTGTTTTATCAATTTCTATAAGACTTTAGAAATCCATTGTAGTTAATGAATATTCAACTGGTAACCATTTAATTAGTACCTTTTTGCGACTTTTGCGTCTATAATAGTCAGGAAAATTTCATTTGGAACATCCAATGTAAATCAAGATATCAAATTTCAATTCTCAAAAGTCTTTGTTATTCAAAGGTTGTGTCTGACATAGTTTTCACAATAACAAATCGATACAAAACAACCGACCTCGTCTGGCGAACTGGTGGTTGTTTTTCCACAAGAATAAATGGCATCAGAGGCACGCAAGAAACTTAACCCTTCACGGTCGCCGGTATGGCCGTACCGAAACGAAACTGTTTACGTCGGAGGGAAAAAATTGCAACGCGGTGTCCGTTTACACCGGCGACGAGGCTCCGATAACAGTCGCGGACCAGACTATAGATAACGCTCAATTAGCTGCGTTTCTTTTACGTGGACCGCTTTATGCGAAAGATACGCATTTATGTTCTTTGGTCTTAACTTTAAGACACTAATTTCTGTTGAGTATTTCATTAGACCTATTCTATATTTCTTTATTCTCTGAGCATTATAAAATGTTTTCTGAGATTTTACTTAAATAATTGAGATAAATTGTTTATCTTCTAGATTACTCCTACGTATTTGAAAAGTAAAACTCCAGTGTACTGTATCGTCAAATGTTTTATTTAAAACTAACTTTTTCCGCGGCTCCGTCCGCGTGTAAGTTAATCATAATAATTAAGAAATGAACCAATATAGCCTATGTTACTGACAGATAAGTTACCTTTTTAACGGTGAGAGAATTTTTAAAATCGGCCCAGATGATTTTTGAGCCTATTCATTACAGTCAAACAAAGTTTTCCTCTTTATAGTATAGATTCGTACGATTTGGAAAGGTACAGCGAAACGTCGCTGATTGAGATTCCTAAATCTGTATTTAATGTAGCTTCTGTCGAATTCTTCGAGCTATTAAATGTTTCAAAGCATTGCACACAATGTGCAAAAAACGCTTCATGGCTGCCAAATGGACAGACTGGCCTCGATTGACAACATTAAATAACTTCGTCTTTGTCCTTAATTTTATTCCAGACTCAATAGCTATGCCTTGATGACTTCATTTAAAATCGAAAAATGTTTTTATTCGCGTAACTTTTGTAGAATTTACAACAGTCAAGGGAAGGAATGAAAATTTACCGTCGTACTCAGCATCATTACTTGGTCACTGGAGAAGCTTAGTATAAATTTTTAATTCTAAAATTACACTAAGGGCGACTGAGAGGAAGAAGATATTCCTGTATTGACATTTTATATACAACTGATTGTTAAAATAATTTGTTCATGATTGACATCGAAATAAATTTATAAAAGTACTGCGTAAATATGTATTCTTGAAACTCATTTTGAGTGGAGTAATTTCTAATAAACCCTAATATTTACCGGCTACCAAGTTACAGGTGTCATATTGCATGACACCGCTGCTTGGTGTGACGTGATGTGTTTACTCCTCACTTGTCCTTAATTATTATTTAGCCCGGTGTCTCGGATTTCGTCTACTGTATGTACGACACCGGATGGCGACCGTCCTGCACACTACAGACCTATATCTTCATTTATACGCCAACATTGTTTATACACGCTTCATTGTGCTTCGCGTGTGCCGCTGACCGATATTTTTACACTTTTTTTATTAAATACATCTTAAATTTCAGAAGATTTTGATACGAATTCGGAACAAAATGGATAAATCTTTTTACCATATAAGGTTCGATCACTTTGAATATAAATGTAAGAATTGCATGTTGAATAAAGACGTCGCGTTTATTAACAGGAAGTTAAATTACTTTTTTAAATTGCTACTTAAATTACAATAATAATAAAGACATGTCGGTCAGTCGGTAATGTTAAAAGCAGCAATAAAAGCTAGAGTTACAGTCGATCGAACTAATTATGCAAAGTATCGGCAGCGGACTGCAAAATTTCGCAAGCGAAGTGACAAGCCGAAACTTAATAACTTACTCAGAAATGGCCGAGCAAATTGGGAGCCGAACGAGCGGTTGAACCGGCTCCGTAACCCAACACTGGCCGCCTGCCTCTCCGACACATATAAATTGTATTTTTATTCAAATCGAGCCTACGTGCCGCGATAAAACCCCCCTTAAAACAAATAGCGGACCGTTCTCGTGACATTCGAACGAAAATTTACCTTAACGTGGTAGAAATAAATGCAGAAATTCGAAATTTAATTCACCAACATATCGTAATGTAGAAGACAAGAAGCTTTGGTGCGACTGTAACGAAGATGTTC